TTACGAATAGTATTTTTTAATTAACAATATAACCAAATACTTAAATCCGTATCTTCTGTGCCTGAGCAAGTTTTTAAAGATTAAATTAAAAACGGAAAGCTAAGTAGTGCTCTAAAATTGAAAGACTAGACAATATATGATAAGAAAGGCAGCCTCTCAATTGCTGGCAGTTAACTTTGCAAATTCACCTGAATGTTAACTCAAAAAAGTCACCTATTATGTTCTCTGGTTGTTTTCTTTTTTTTTTTGGTTTTGAGGAAGATTCGCCTTGAGCTCGCATCTGCTGCTAATCCTCCTATTTTTGCTGAGGAAGACTGGCCCTGAGCTAAGATCCGTGCCCATCCTCCTCCACTTTATATGTGGGACGCCTGCCACAGCATGGCTTGACAAATGGTGCATAGGTCCGGACCCTGGATCTGAACTGGTGAACCCTGGGCCACGGAAGTGGAATGTGCAAACTTAACCACTGCATCACTGGGCTGACCCCTCTGGTTGTTTTCAAAAGAGGGTCAAATATATGCTATGCGTTAAATCACCAATCCACTAAGTTATTTTGACTTATTTAAGCATAGGGCTTATAGCATTCAGTTACTGAATGATTATAAGAAAAATATCAAGAATAAATTTATCACTAGAGTGTGTGTTTTTGTTTTTTCTTCTGAGAAGGATTCGCCCTGAGCGAACATCTGTTGCCAATCTTCCTCTGTTTTATATGTGGGCTGCCATCATAACATGGCCGATGAGTGCTGTAGGTCTGCATCAGGATCCAAACTGTGAACCCCGACCGTCAAAGTGGAGCACACCAAAGTTAACCACTACTGCAGTGGGGACAGCCTCTCGATTGTATATGTTTAAATTGTTTTCAAAAATATGGTGCAGTGCATGAATAAAAAAGTGAAACTTGCTATCATTCCATACATGAAGCTTTTCATAGATACATTTCAGTAGGTACATCCTGTTTTTACTAAATTTCCTTAATTATCGCTGTTATTGTAGCCACAATTGTCACTTAAAAGCCCATGTATAAATCATGGCTATTCAAGTAACCTTGGGGATAGGACTTTATCTCTTTTTATTCTATCTTGAGAGATTTCATCAATAAAACTAAGATAAACCAATACATGGTTAATCATGGGTTTTTTTTGCAAAAAACTTCATGAGTAAAAATATGCTTTCATGCTGTTCAAAGTTAAGGTCAGCACCTCAGTTGGAGCCCATGGAGCATAATTTAATAGGTGCAATCACTATCCATGTCTAGGAAGGTGAACTTATTTATTGAATCCATTGAGTCTACGTCTATTTCATTCTCTATCAACTTAGTTTTGTATCAAAATTTGTTAAATTACAACCAATTCTTTCCCAAGGTTGAAGCTTAAAGAACTCCCAATGGTCAAAGCTGGAATAACTTCAGAATCAAAATAAACAATGACAACATAGGATTACAACCTGAGGAATAAAATAAATGTCCCTGAGTCCATATTGATACAGACAAATAGTGGATACGTAAATCAGTGGGAGATAAGAGACGAATCTTCACTACAGAAGACTTCTAGATAATAAATGGAAAAGGAATAAGGGAAACAGAAAATCACCGTTAGACCATTGCAGTGCGAATTACCACAGGCAAGTTCCATGGATTAGTAGAAAAAAACTTTAAGTTAGTAGCATCGCTTTAAGAAAAAAGATCATGTTTGCATATCCTCAAGATATCTTCTCCCAAATATTTATTAATTACTCTGGTACATATATTCACAAATTTCTTGATACTCATTTCTCTAGAAGGTAATTCATAATTCCTCTCTTCTTTAGAATGTCCTGAATTTAGCAACTGACTTTTAGCAGAGTATGGAAAGGAGACATAGTAACTTGAACATGGAGAAAGCTGGTAGACACCACCTTAACATAGTGATCATGATTAGTCTACCATAACAAGTAATGGTAGCTTGTACTGCCAGATAGAAGGTTGTAAGAAGAGCACCCACTTCTGTGGGATTTTCCCAAAAAGAATTTTTAAAACCCAGCCTAAACATGAGAAAACATCAGACAAATCCATACTAAGTATTCGATCAACACTCCTCAAAGGTATCAAGGCCAAGAAATGTAAGGAAAGACCAAGAAACTAACATATTTTGGAGAAAACTAAGGACATGTGATGAAAAAAGTGCAATTTTGTATCCTATGTTGCATCTTAAATTGGAAGGGCATTAGTAAAAACCTAGTGGAATACAAAGAAAGTCTGTGGTTTAGTTAATAATGTTGTTTATAGTATTAAATCTTCATTTTGATATGTTTATAATGGTTATTTAACATATCATCAGTAGAAGCTGGAGATGGATATACAGGAACTCTCTGTGCTATCTTTACAACTCTTCTGTAAATCTAACGTTATTTTGAAATAAAGATTTTTTTTTAAGACTAGGTTTTTGACATATGCAAACATTTTATTTTAATGCAGGTGACAAATTACATATGGGAGTTTTTGCATGTAGATGTCACTTACCAACTCTAAAAGAATTTCATTGGTTAAGAATTTTAAACAATGTTTTCCTTATGTCTCAGAAGTTTCAGAGATAAGATAACCTGGGATTTCTTGATATAGATTATAGACTTTCTATGTATGTTCCTGTCTGTATAGATGGAAGTGTGATGGCTAAATATTTTGTTTAAGAAAATATACCCTACCAATTAAAGACAATATTAACCTTGTCTTCAGGCAATATTTATTATTTTAAAATATCATGACTTCTCTTCTTCATAAATCCTACTATATTTATATTTTATTCTAATATTATCTGTTTTCTTTCTTCAAGAGTGTTTGGGTTTGTTTTTCTTCCTCTCGTCCTGCTTTAAACAAACTCTCTCTGCATTTTCTTAAAGTCACCACTCCCTCATAAATCATTCAATTCAAAGCTATAAAACAAGTTTATCTTATCCAGATTAATCATCTCAATCTTATCACCTTGCTCACAATCCCTGACAGGCAGCCTTGAGTTTATGTTGGAGTGCCAGCCACATAGTTCTGACTAGAAGCAGACCATGAGAGTGACCTTGCCCCACTCTAAATTTTATAAATCTAAATGTATCCTGCTAAATCTTTACTTGAGTAAATGTAAAAAAGGAAAAAAAATAATGGCAAATAATAGAGAAATATACACATAAGTACATTTATATTCACATACATAAAAACATACACATAAGGCTGAGTATTATTTATTTTATTTGCAAAAGACTACTTATACATCATAGCTTTAGGTAAAAGATTGGTTCAACACTCAGTATCTACCTTAGGGATATTTAATCTCAATTATTACATTTCTAATTATTCTTGTCAATAAAGTTATTATTTATTCTGTAAATTAACAGAGGAAAAATACTTGCAAAATGTGCCTATAAACCAATTGTTTTATTACGCTCTTGGTTGATGTAATTGTGCATTGTATATATTTCACCATTTCATAGTGCTCTCTGGCCATTAGTTATAAACTATTTTAGCGCAAATAACCGTTTCTTTCTGTTTCTTCCTTGCCAGGCTTTACCAAGTTGGACAGCCAGATAATGAGATAGCAACAGAGAGGAGAATGAGGAGGAGGAAGAGAGAGAGAGCATGAGGGAAAGAGCAGCACACACAGGAGTCAGAGAGAAGAGTGAGGTGGAGAGAGGAAAGGAGAAGAATAGTGAAGAGAGATGGAAGAATAGGACAATGGGAGTCCACGCTTATAACATGTCAAGGTCTGGTGCTTTGAAAATAATGAAATAAATACAAATTTAGTAAAACAGGTAGGCAGGAGGGGGATAAACAAAGATTTAAGTTGGTAACTGGGCTTTTGCAGTGAAAGATAATAGTTTCTGAAATGCCATTAATTCTGAGATCAGAAAACTTAATCATTTTCAAAGAAACAAGGAAAAACTGTATTACAAAGGCAAACACACACTTATTTTGGATTTTCCTTTTTCTGGGATATATATATAGACTGACAAATATTTTACATTTTGGCTATGCTAGTTTTCTATATTTCTGAGTAAAAAATTACCACAAAATTTAGAAGCTTATAACAATACGCATTTATTATCTCATAGTTTCCACAGGTAATGAGTCCTAGCAAAGCTTAACTTGTGTCTGTGCTCAGGGTCTCACAAGACTGCAACCAATGTGTCAGCTGGGCTGCATCCTCATCTTGAGACTCAAGTGGGGAAAGGTCCACCCACGAATTCACTTCAGATGTTGGCAGGATTCCTTTCCTAGAGGCTGTCTGACAGAAGACCCTGCTCACCTGCTGACAGTTGGCTGGGACCACTCTCCCTTCCTGGCAGCCACCTTCAGTTCTTTGCCTTGTGGTCCTTCCATAAGCCATTTACCATGTGGCTCTTTACTTCTTCAAGGCTACTAGAAGAGTTTCTTGGTCCAGTCTGCTGTGATGGAGTCTTATATAACACAACAAAATCACAGGAATGACTTTCCTGTCACTTTTGCCATGTTCTATCAGCTAAAAGCAGTTATTGGTTACCCCTATACTCAAGCAAAGGGGATTACAGAAGGAGTGACTCATTGGGGGGAGGGGTCACCTTAACCTGTGTCTGCCACACCTGAAAATAACAAAATCCTATATTAAAACTTTCATTCTAAATTTCACAAACATTTTTATTAAGTTATAGATGAACATATTTACTTTTACCTCCTTAAAAAACTCACACTCAGACATATTCACTGTTATGGTTAAACTTTATTTGTTCAATAATAATAAATGATAAATAAACATCTATTTGTGGGCATTTTAGTGCATTTATTAGTGGAAGAGGTCTGCAGTATTTCAAAGAAAATGTTCAGAAAGGGGGAGTGCATTTTTCTTTCTTTTCAATTTACATTCCTTTTGCATATTTTGCAATACCCTGCAGGAACGGCACTCACATACTCTGAAAGCACACAATATTGAGTTCCACTTCAGCCTTCCATCCCTGGTATCATCTTCTACTTCTCGGAATCAGGGTTCACATATTCTAAAGTTTTCTGGGATATTTCCTTTGTACTGATTCCTTCTTACATTTTTTGTTTGTTTTCTGTTTTATTTAGCACTTAATTAACAGGAACAAGAGTGGTTTGGAGTATGGCAGAGTCCATTCCAAATATGTCTTGGGCAATAAGGGTAATTGGAATGGAATTCTTTAGTCATAGAGTCATGGGCTGAATTGTGACCCTGAAAATTCATATTCTAGCACCTCAGAATGTGACCGTATTCAGAGATAGTATCTTTAAAGAGGTAATTAAGTTACCATGAGGTCATTATAATGGGCTGTAATCCAGTATTACGGGTGTCCTTAGAAGACAAGGAAATTAGGATGCAGACGTGTACAAAAGGAAAACCGTGTGAAGACACAGGGAGAAGATCGCTATCTAGAAGCCAAGGAGAAAAGCCCTGCGAACACCTCAATCTTGAACTTTCCAACCTCCAAAACTGTGAGAAAATAAATTTCTTTGTTTCAACCACCCAGTCCATGGTACTTTGTTATGGCAGCCCTAGCAAACTAATACACATAGACACATTGCTTATTATCAAAGTTGTATCTTATCACAACTCGAACCACAAAGCCATTGACTGATGACTGACATTGTCTCAGTCAGTTAATCAGACACAAGAACTGTAGCCACAGGCTACCCCTTGGCTGCTCACAGGACCTCTGTCAAAGGTGGGCCGAGATCTCCTTGTCCCAGCCAGCTGTCTCATTTTTCATCTGTTTACTTCAGGATGTAGACTGGAGAAGAGAGATGACGCAATATAAATCACGAGAACAACAGCCGCAGCTCAAGCCCCGTCTTATGACTGGCCAATCTCACTCAATATGCAAGAAAAAACAGTTTTTAAAGGTATCCTCCATGATGAATTAAAACTGGGAGTTTTACAAAAGTAAGATGAAAGGTTCTCCGTACTTCAAAGGAGTCAGGTGTCCATGATGCAGCGAAGTAAATGTTTGGTTTACTTTTGAACATTACCAGATCCAGAAAGCATGGAAAATTTCATTAGTAATTTGGCTTACAATGTAGAAATAAGATGTAACAGACTGGAAAAGAAAAAAAATAGTAAAATGTTAATCTTGTGACAATGGTGATTATTTTCTCTGCCCTCCTGAGAGATGTCATTATTTATATTCTTAATTAAAAGCGGCTTCTCCAGTGGCATTCAAATTCTCATGAGAAATCAAATGCCGTTTTACTAAAAAGGCATCGAAACATTCTACTTGCATGACATATTTTGAGAGGCAAAGCATAGTGTCCTTCCTGAATGCCTTTGAAGGGAGTCTGCAAGATGCATCCTTGATCTCAAGTGATGCTTGCACGACCAAAGGATGTACTGAACTTTTCTTTCATTTTACTGAGTCTACTTCTGCTCCAAGGGTTAGACGGTAAACTCTGAACCCAAATGATAATTTATCGTTTCTTCATCTTTTCTGCCAAAGGGACTCTGGATCTCAATTCCTTCTAGGTTCCCCAGATTTTCTGATGGAGGACTAGGAAGAGAAGGACATTATTTCTTGAAAGGTAGTGATGAACTATGGCTATTTTATATCATGATGAACAGTTTACAAAATAACATTGGCATTTTGATTGTTTGGTGTAAATATACGTATCCCAAAGGCCTCACAATCATTACTTTAGAACCAGGAGGAATACTGAGAAAATTTCTGCGCCTTTAAAGTTTCTGACCCCTGCAGGCTCATTTTCTGGCACAGTTAAGTTTCTGAAGATAATAAAGCACACATGGGTAAAATACACAAACTTTCTAAATCAAAAAGGGCAAAAGTGAAAGCACTGTGTCTTCCCGTGTACCTTTTACTTTTGTAATATCATTAAATAGCAAAATTCATATTAGGAATATATAAAATAAAATGCCGGTGGGAGTAGAACTTTTCCTCGAAATGCCTGTCTAGCACATCTAATTAGGTTTAAACTATAATTTAATACACCTTAGCAAGAAAACAGATAAATCACTTTTAAGAGTTTATGAAAATAGGATATAGGTGTGGTAGTACAAAGCATATATTTTATCTCCTGCATTGTTCTCAACAGACTTCTTCCTGAGACAACTAATTTGGAAAATATGCACTGTTATTTCTTGCCCATCCTGTCCCAAATGCAGCTGTTGCTTAATTACTTAACCCACAGATTTTGCAGCAATGAAGGCACCTTTCCATAACCAACCGAGAAAGCGATCTTTTCAAAATGACTACAAAGACAGCATAACGCACAAAATCTTTGGGAAGGTAAGAGAATGTAAAATCAAAAATTAAGTTTATGGTCTCACATTTATTTCCCTGATATGGTTCTAATATTCCCCACACCCTTACATAAACATGTCTTACTCTTCAATGATATGCGTTTCAAAAGATTGCTATGAATTTCACATGTAGGAGGTTGCAACAGCTAAGATATGAATAGCAAAATGTCAGGTAACTTTCTATATATCTGAGGGCACAATTATACATAAAAATGAAAAATAATTTTTAGCCACAGGTTACGTTTCAATTAAAATTTAAGGTAAGTGCAGTTTTCTCTCCTCCTAAGTCCTTGAAGATTTATAAGTCTTCATCATAAAATTTTCTCTATAGGTTTGTACTTCCAGTGGTGAAATTGGGATTAATCGAACAGCAGTGAAAAAGAAGCTACTGACCTACTCAAGAAGACTTCCGGAAAATCCCTTTGTTAGTGAAGAAGCTGCTGTGACCAGGTTTCAACATACAAAGAACATCCTGCTTGGTCTGCAATCTGCCCTGTCGTCTGACTTCACAGCTTTTGCTCCATCCTTTCAGTTTAGCTTGCCAGATAATCTTTGCTTGGAAAACAATACAAACTTGCAATAAGAAAAGCAGTATCAAAATAAAACAGTTATTTACTGTTTTTGACACTTTGTTATTTTTAAAATGTTTCGTAATTGCATTTTATCAATTTACAGAAAAAATACAGATAATTAAATGGAAATTTGCCCATTACCCAGATTTGAAGGATTGTATCTTCTTTGTATGTATGCATAGATTAAATTAAACAATATGAAAGCTTAATTTCCATCTCTACCTTTTTTCCTGAGATGAAGCTATTACAATATTTTTCTATAAGCCAAAGTTATTTAACATCTCTATACTTTCCTTAAGTGAAAAATACCTGAGCACTGTTTTAGCTATTATACACTACCCTATCTTTATTGTTGTGGTTTTCCAGAGGTAATTTTTTAACCTTTATTATTTAAACTAAGTAATGTTTATGATTTTTAGAGAATATAGTTAAATTACAAAGATACTTTTTCAGTTACTGGACTATTCATGTTTCTACAATTCTACTTCTTTCTCCCTGAAGGAAATTTCTTTCTCCCAGAAGGAAACCTTTTCTGTAAACCTAATTTTTAATGAACACAAATTTTTAATAATAAGAATCAAGCTATTTATTTTTTGATATGTTGAAAACGTATTGATGAAATCAATATGTTTAAAACCATATTACAGGCATACCTCACCAATATTGTGGGGTTGGTTCCTGACCACCATAATAAGGCAAATGTCACAATAAAAATTTTTTGGTTTCCCAGTGCATATAAAACTTACATTTACATTATACTGTAGTCTATTAAGTGTGTAATAGCATTATGTCTAAAAACATGTACGTGTCTTAATTAAAAAATACTTTATTCCTGAAAAATGCTAACCATCTTCTGATCTTTCAGAGAGTTGGAATCTTTTCACTGGTGGAGGGTCCTGCCTCCATGTTGATGGCTGCTGACCGATCAGGGTGGTGGTTACTGAAGAATGGGATGGCTGCGGTAATTTCTTAAAATAAGACACCAATGAAGTTTGACACTTCCATCGACTCTTCCTTTCACAAGTGATTTCTCTGTAGCTTGCCATGCTGTTTAATAGCATTTTAACCACAGTAGAACTTCTTTCAAAATTGGACTCAGTCCTCTCAAACCCTGTTGCTGCTTTAGCAACTAAGTGTATGCCATGTTCTTTCATTGTCATTTAATATCCTTTCTTGTTATTTCAGAAATCTTCACAGTATCTTCTCCAGGAGCAGATTCCATCTCAAGAAACCACTTTTTGCTCATCCAAAAGAAGTAACTCTTCATCCGTTAAAGTTATCATGGGATTGCAGGAATTCAGTCACGTCTTCAGGCTCCACTTCTAATTCTACTTCTCTTGCTATTTCCACCACATCTGCAGTTCCTTCCACCCCTGAAGTCTTGAACCCCTCAAAGTCATCCATGAGGGTTGCAATCAATTTCTTCCAAACTCCTGTTAATGTTGATATTTTGGACCTCTTCTCATGAAACACAAATGTTCTTAATGGCATTTAGAATAGTGAATCTTTTCCAGAATGTTTTGAATTTACTTTGCCTGGATCCATAAGAGGAATAACAATAGCAACTATAGCCTTATAAATGTATTTCTTAAGTAATAAGACTTAAAAGTTGAAATTCCTCCTGGATTCATGAGCTGCAAAATTCATGTTGTGTTAGCAGGCATGAAAAGCATTAATCTCGTTGTACATCTCCATCAGAGCTCTTGGGTTACCAGGTGCATTGACAATGAGCAGTCATATTTGGAAAGGAATCTTTTTTTCTGAGCAGGAGGTCTCAATAGTGGGCTTAAAATTTTCAGCAAACCATGTTGTAAACAGATGTGCTGTCATCCAGGCTCTGTTGTTCCATTTATAGGGTACAGTCAGAGTAGATTTACCACAATTCTTAAGCCTCCTAGAATTTTTAGAGTGGTAAATGAGCAGTGGCTTCAACTGAAAATCACCAGCTGCATTAACCCCTAATAAGAGCATCGCCCCGGCCTTTGAAGCTAGGACTTCTCCTCCCTGGCTATGAAAGTCCTAGGTGGCAATTATTTCCAATATAAGGCTATTTCGTCTACATTGGAAATCTGTTGGGTAGTGCAGCCACCTCCATTAATGATCTCAGCTAGATCTTCTGGATAACTTGCTGCAGCTGCTACATCAGCACCTGCCACTTCCCTCGCACTTTTATGTTATGGAGACAGCTTCTTTCTTTAGACTTCATGAACCAACCTCTGCTAGCTTCAACATTTTCTTCTGCAGCTTCCTCACCTCTCTCAGCCTTCATAGAATTGAGGAGAGTTAGGGTCTTGCTCTGGATTAGGGTTTGGTTTAAGGGAATGTTGTGGCTCGTTTCATCTTCTATCCAGAACACTAAAGCTTTCTCTATATCAGCAATGAGGCTGTGTCGCTTTCTTGTCATACCTGTGTTCACTGGAGTAGCACTTTCGATTATTTTCAAGAACTTTTCGTTTATATTCACAACTTGGCTAACTGTTTGGCAGAAGAGACCTAGCCTTTTGTCTGTCTCTGCTTTTGACTTGCCTTCCTCACTTAACTTAATCATTTCTAGCTTTTGATTTAAAGTGAGACATGTGTGGCTCTTCCTTTCACTTGAACACTTAGAGGCCATTGTAGGGCTAGTAATTGGCCTGATTTCAATATGCCTCAGGGAATTGGGACACAGAGGAGAGAGAGAGACAGGGAAACAGCTGGTCAGTAGAGCAGTCAGAACACACACATTTGTGACTTGTTTGCCTTCTTATATGAGCACAGTTTGTGGCGCCCCAAAACAATTACAATAGTAACGTCAAAGATCACTGATCACAGATCACCAAAACAAATATAATAATAGTGAAAAAGTTTGAAATATTTTGAGAATTACCAAAATGTGACACAGTGGCATGAAGTGAGCAAATGCTGTTGGAAAAATGGTGCCAATTTGCTCGATGCAAATCTTCAATTTGTAAAAAGCACAATATCTGTGAAGCACGATAAAACAAAGTATGCTTCCATGTTTAAAATGCAGGTTGGCAATCTAACATAAGAATATAAAAGTATGCACACATTTTAGTGTACTTTAACAACCTATGAAATCATTCAAAATATTAGAAAAATACCTGGTTTCAAACAACATATACAATACATTATTAATTAAAAAAAATAAAAGCCTAATGTTTACGGTTACCTACTTAATCATCTGACTGTAGAATTTAAATCAGTGTGTTAATACTGCTAATCTTTATGTAGAGGAATTACAGATTGGTGTTACTTTGTGTGTGTGTGTCTGTGTGTTTAGGATTAAGTTATAGGTTGTATTTCAAGTTCTTTAATTGGTATAGAATTCTGGTTTAATCAGTTTGTTAAATTTAAGGCAGGGATTATATTGACAAGATTAAATTTTTGTTAAAAAACACTATTTCACAGGTAAACTAAATTTTGTAATTCATACTTGTCTACGTATTTGGGGACTCAATAAAAATCCTGTACCAATAAATAGGCCAATTATTAACTACCAATTATTAAATAAAATCATTTTTGAATGGAGCTATAGGATCAGTAGCTGAATTACTAAATAAAGGTTTCAATATTATTTTAATATTATTTTCTGAAAAATGCTTTTTTAATTAGTTACTCATAAATTTATTTGTAAAAAGATTCTAGTTTAACATAAAAAATTTTATAAATTTTCATTCCAAAAAGTTGTTAAGGTAATTAAAGAAAACATAGTAAAACTCCTACTTCAGAAATCTTTGTACATTCTTGGCATCACAGTAAATGTGTTTTCCACCTTGTTTGTGAAGACTGCCTGATATCATTTATTTGAAAATAATTTACTGACATTCTGAACAATTAAATAAATGTTTAGTCTTAGGAGAGAGTCAATTCACACAAAGTAGAGTAATTTTTATTAAAATATATTTGGCAAGGGGTGCTCAAGTGGAACATTAGCAAAATTAATCTGATAGCAAATACTCTCTGTTTTTTTCTGTAACTTCCCCCTAGTTTCCAGGATTGACAAGCTATTCTCATCTATTACACGTTATATCTGACTGTCTGAATATCACTTGCTAAATGGTAGATTTCACACGTCATATTGCTTGTCAGTGTCATGTCTTCCAGAACCTGAATCTGAGTTAGCACGTGGTGCAGAGTCCCTCCTTAGTCTATGCCATAGTGGTTGAGCCTGGATAGACTTGCCATAGTAGCGAGTGTCCCACAGGTGCCAGAGCAAATGTGGCACATTTTTATCCATTTCTCTTCACATTGCTTTTGCTTCAAATCTTATTTGCTGATTTTTCTGACACAACTAAATTTGGCTGATATTAGTAAAGAAGTGGCCACATAGCCATAAAAAAACCGAGTGTGATTCTATTCTGCCTTGATCATCATCAATCAATTTGTCATTTCAATCTTGATGGCTTATCCCTCAGCCCAACGTAATGTTGTAAAGAGGAGAAAAATTCATTATATAACCATAGCATAGAAAAGAATTGCTGTGAAAGTCACATTTTGATAGATAAGCTTAAAAACTTATCTCCTTATCCAAATAGGAAAGTTGTAGTATATACAAAATGCCCACTTTTACGATATAAATGAAATACTACTAATAATGATATTCTAGATGATAATTTGCTCTTGAATTTTCTATTCCAATACAAGCTCTGGTTCTTGCTAACTCATTATCATAAAGATAAACACAGTTTGAAAGGAGTCTAAGTAGTTCCAGACACAAGTGAATAATAGAAGCGAAGGTGTGACAAAACTTCACAAAGCTAAAAGCATACCTGTTTTTGTAATTCACACTAAATGGAAAAGATACTGGACTTTAAAACTTTATACTCGGAGCATATTTAATATGTAAATATTAGTACAAGTAAACATAGTAGAATTAAGAGGAAATATGGATTTAACCGTAGGCTTAACAAATACTAGCTTTGTTAGGCTTAGGAAATACTAGTTTTGTTTTTTGAGATTTTGAAGGTCAAACATCATGTGACAAAATGCACTTCCTTTGGTTCCTCAGGTTGACAAACCCCCTCAGCTTCCATCTTTAAAAGAAGGAGATATACATTTTCAATTACACACGTGTGGAAAGTGCTAAGTTCAATTTAAGCAGGATGAAGCCAAACACTTATTATAACTGCAGTACAAAGTAACTATAAATGAAAAAGTAAAAATTTAAAAAATAAAGAATATGCAAACAAGAAAGATAACTATCATTTACATATGACATCTGGGTTGATATATTTCATAAGTTCGTGTGTTTATATACCATAGCCGTAGTTATAGTACTTTGCAGGCCTATTGTATGTAAAGAACTGAATATTTCAGTGGGGACACCAGAGTTACCAAGAATAATGCATTTAAAGCAA